CCTTCCTCAATGTTCAAAAGATGGCTGACGCATTCTACTGCATAGCTCCAGAAACATGGTGGTAACCCCGCTTCCAAGAGACAAGTTGCGGTTGTCATCATAATGAACTGATTGTTCCTCTCCGCCAGAGAATTGTTCTGAGGATGATTCGGTAGAGAGTGATCGAATGGGATCTTCAGCTGCTTCATAGCCGTCTCAAACTCTGGGGCTTTGTCGGCATAAGCAATCTTGATCTTCTTCAATCCTTTGAAGTGGTTTATTGCATTGACCACGTCCTTGGTAAACCTCTCTTTCGACGGATAGGCCCATATGACGCCTGTGTACCTGTCACGAATGACGAAGATCTCTCGATCAGTACTGATCCCTTGATCAAGGATGTTCCTCGTATCGACAAAATCAAAGGTAACCAGATCTCCAAAAGCTTTGAGCTTTCTCTTGAACGCTCCTCGATGCGTCTTGAAGTGTTTCATCTTTGCTCTGATGCATGACTCACAGTAGGGATTCTTGTAACGATGTGTGAGTAGATGCTCGATTTTCCTGGCATCTGCTTTCAGAGTTCCTCTTCTCACCATTCTACTTGCACCGTCAACAACATCCACCTCGATGTCATCTGCATCATCATCGTCAGCTTCTGGTTCACTGTCTCCGGCGACATCTGATCCTACCTCATCTTCTTCTCCAGGAGATGCCTTGAACTTCTTATTCCTCTTTCGCCTTTTGACTTTTGGAGGCTCAATCACAGGGAGGTCGTCATCATCACACATGATCCCTTGAGGATCCACATCACAGTTGATGAAAGTCGATTGGTAATCAGCTTCATCTTCTCCTAGGGTGAACCTTGCGATCATCTCCGCCCTTGTATCGTCGGTGGGAGTACAGAAGTCACTGCCCTTGACAATATATGGGATGTTTCCCTCTACTTCTAACATGATTTTCTTGTAGTTCGGGGAAACCATGTACGGGTTGCCGCAGGCTGGCCATATGAATGTGTATCCTTCCTCCATGCATTTCTTTCCAACAGACAGTACTGAAGGAGACTCATCTAAGACGAATGGGGAGTAGGTAGAGTCAAATTCGTCGAAATGAATGTCGGCGACTCCCTTTGTGGGTGTCACTCCATTTGCGGTATAGAATGACATTGATTGGTCGCTTTCTCTCACTTCCAGACCTAATTTCTTGGCTCTGCCTTTCGATATCAAATCATACCCACATCCTGTGTCCATGATGAACTTTGTTCTTGACCCTTTGGCTGGAATAGACAATGTCTTTGTGTCTGCATGATCTTTCTTTCCCTCGCATACATGAGGAATGACTTTATGATGGAAAACTAGGCCGTCATCTTCGTCAAAAGACATAGTGACCGCTAGGTCACCCTTTGGTCCAACTGGTATTCGGACCCTCTTGATCTCAGTGTAGGGGACCATCAATATGCCTCTTGCCTCTGCGACCTTTTCTTCAAATCTGATTTGTTCTTTCCTCGTGTAGCAGGTGAGCTCTTTCTCATCGTATCGTTTGATGTCTGGACGTAGAGGTTTCCTTTCTACTACCTTCCATTTGTTCCTGACTGAGTAGATCGCTTCGTTCAACATGATCTCACAAGTCTCTTCATCAAAGGATACTTTTGCACCTCCTTCTCTTGCCTTGGCGGATGCAGCAATCCCTTCATCTTCGGATTCGTCCATGAAGAGTTCACCGTCAATGGCTGGGGCTCCAGGCTTCGCCTTAGGCTTCGGTTTGGGTTTTGCCTTGGGCTTTGGCCTATCGTCTCCTGAGTCAGCTGGTGCAGATATCCCTTTCTTAGGAGAGGCTTTTGGGTCATGGTAGAACTTGCAATCCTTCCCTTTGTCACAAGTTCCTCGAATCCACACCCAACATACTGGCTTGTCATTCTTTCCGACAGAAGATCCTCTGGATGGTGATCTGGGTTTCTTGTGACTGAATGGGCAATCTTTCCCCATAGTGCAGTTACCTTTCACGAAGTATTTGCATGGTATCTTCTTCTTGTCTGTACTCGGACTTCGGCTGCGATCCTTTCCATCACCTTTACCTTTCCCCTTTCCCTTTTTGTTCTTGTCTTCAGGATGCTTCTTGGGATTGGGTTTCGGCTTCACTGCAGCAGCGTCTTCTGAGACAACCTGTTCTTGTTGCCCTTTTGGTTTCTTCTTCGGATCAGCTGGTGCAGCTTTCAGTTTTGGAGCAGGTCCGCCTGGTTTGAGATTCTGAAAGATATTGGCCACATTCTTCACTGCCTTCTCCTTTTCCAGGATCATCCTGTCTTCAGTTTGCCGTTCGATGTGCCTTCTGATCATATCACGTAGATGTTTGTATGTCTTCTTGGCATCATCGTCGTTCATGCTGTTGTAGGCGCTGATGTCGTACGCCATGAGGTTTGAGTTCCTGATCTTTCTCCATAGGAGATCCCGAAGAGTTTCGTCGCTCGGGACGTCAACGGGCTTCATTCCTGCCAGAATCTCATCCCAAGTGTGGAAGAACAACGATAAGTTCTTGTCTCCTTGATATTCTAGTTGGTAGAGGTGCATTGAAGTATATAAGACTTCCACATTTGATGTTGTCTTGAAATTCATAAGGATCAGGGCTAGGACCTCTCTTCCCTTTATGAGGCTTGATGTTCTCCCTTTTGCATTGATCCTCGTCCTCAACTTCATAGCTACACCTGAACCATCATCTTTCGCATCCATGACGACCTTGGTAAGAGCTAGGCCGAGTTTGGCATCGATTGAATGGAATCTTTGGTCTCCTGAGTCGACAAACTTGTCCGGATCAGGGTCGTCCATGGCTTCTTTGATCCAGTCGATCCAGGGCTCTTGATCTGAATCATTGGCCGCAATGATGATCGATTGAATGAGATTTGCCTTCCATAGTCCAAGATCATTGATCCTGGGCCATGACGGAACGTTTATCTTTGATTCTTCCTTCCTCGATACTTTCATGATTGTAGAGGTTGCCGGCGCAAGATGAGATGAAGAGGATGCTTCTGCTTCTGAAATCTTGTCCCTCAATGATTTGTTCGCCTCGGATAGCTCAATTGATTTCTCCCTTTCCTCGGCGTACTCATTGTGGGTTTCGGCATACCATTCATACATCTCATCTCGGCTCTCTGTCATTTCATTGTACCCGTCCTTGTAGTGCTTCGCCTCCTCTTTTGCGTTCCGAATCTCATCTTCCTCGGACGCGTGGGTTGGTAACCCGCGGTCTCTGGAACTAGGACGCTTGCTGTACCGAGAGACTATGGGTGCCATTCGTGCTTCTGCTTTTAATTTCGCATTTTCCATAATGACATTCTTTGTCTCCTTCTGGCTTTCCAATAGTGCATTCTCCAGTTCTCTGATCTTCTGTTGAATTTCAGCACCATCATCGCCGAACATAGGAGCTCTCATCATATTCTCTCTTTTCAGCTGTGCGTTGGCTTCGGATAGAGCGAGGTTGGCGTCTTTCAATTGTTGTCGTTCACGGATGGAACCTTCTAGGACTTCGTTGTTGAATATTTCTCCTTTTGCGATAACCTCCTTTGCGACGTTTGCTTCGTATTCATGGTGGCTCGCCTTCATTTCTGCCATTTCTTTAGCAGATACTTCAGTCTGGCATACAAATATCTCCATCCTCATGCCCACTTCCATCTCTTCTATCTCCGCTCTCGCGTTGAGTTCAGCTCCACGTGCCATAGCTAGTTGACCTCGTAGATGATCAATAACCATAGCTTCCTGATTGCTCCGATCTTGAGATGAGTGAACACTGTGTTGAAGACGTCTTTCCCTGACCTCACTGTTCCATTGTTCTTCTCTCTGGTGTTGGATCACCTCGTGCATGTTGACATTCTCATCCTGTAGCGCAATCATTCTAGCTTGTATCTGGTCAGCTATTCCGACGAAGGCTGTGTTCTCATCCTGAATGGCTTTTGATCTTCTATTGATCGCCAATGAAGATTCATTCTGTTCTTGGATGTGTCCAATTGCTGCTTGAAGCTCTTGGGACATTCTGTCCTTCGTTGCTTTCACAGATTCAAGCTCTGAATGTTCTTGATGAGTTTCTTGCGCAAGCTCTTGATATCTCATGTAGATATGTTCAGCTGTCGATTCCGCCAAGCGTAGCTTGTGTTCGAGCTCTTCAATTCTTATTGTCGCTCCTTCATCTTCCTGTGTCATCTCTTGTAGATGTTCCTGCATCTTCCTGTTGTAGTCAGACATTTGCCTGAACTCCACTTCAGCCTCGTGGTGTAGTCGTGAGTATCCGGCTTGGATGCATTCATATTCTTCATGAAGAAAATTGTATGCGTTTCTCGCCGATCTCAATTCTTCACCCAGCTGAATCTCTCTTCTTTGCTCTTTTGTTCCTCTATCATCGTCACGTCTCTTCTCTATACTCCTTCTTGGGGATCTCGCGGTAGACGTTATAGGCGATGTAGATCTTGTTGTAGCTCTCATCGATCTTCTTGGTCCTACGGGTGCAAGATCGGTCAGATTCCGAGCCGGTGGCACGGATCTTTCCGAGATTTGTGATCCAGTAGGCATAGTGATAACGTCAGCATTTGCTGATGAATCAGTACCCATTGTAGAGTCTGGTGACGAAATGGTGTTGGGACCACCAGGAGCAGCGAATGAATAGGGTTCGCTTCCATTTCCTCCTGAGCTTGACATTGCAGGTTTCTGTAATGACTAGTCTTGTTCTTGGTCTCGTGTAGCTCGTACGGCTATAAAGAGCGCGTACGGCTGATAACCTGCGAGTGGATCTTAATCAGCGAAGTTTGAAGCTATCACTGACGGTCCATAAGCGGCGTAGCGTCGGAACGGAAACCGCACCTTTTCTAGTCGCTTGATCCTTGAGCCAAAGTACATATGGTACATATATATGTACAAGTTGCACTGTACGTGTCGCTGCACTTCCATTCGCATTGCAGAATCTTCCAGTTTCAGAGCTCTGAAAGTCCTAAGTCAAAATCTGTTTATCAAACACACACTCTGGCGATTCACTGATTGGCGCACCCGAGGAAGCTCAGCTCGTGGAAGCTGCTTCCTGGTGGGAAAAGCATAATCAGTATTACAGAACAAAGAAAGAAAAATCAAAGTACTTTTAATGTCTTGAAGACCCTTGAAGCTCTGTTGGCGCACTGGAACAAAGGCACGGCTCCAAGAAAAGTGAGCAGCTGCTGAAACCTTCAAGGATATCATGTCACAATATCCAAAATGTGTCATCAAGCAAGGTTCTGTGATTCTCCATGGACAAATAAGGCATGATAAGGCGGATAAGATATGATAAGGCATCTCAGTGCCAGACTCTTCTTCACTCATTTCTGCATTTTTTCGCTTGACCTCGAAAAGAGACCCAGAAGGCAGTCCGGGAAGATCCTTCTTGAGTATTCAGTAGCTAATACAAGGACGCCAAATGTCGCCAGTATGTGTTTCACTGGCATTGCCACAGCCAAAAATAGTGTGACTGTGACCCATTGACTCGGGACAGCGTAGGCATAGCAAGGTAAAAAACTTGCAGTCTCTCCAGTAGGGTATTGGATTTTTTCTTATTTGGAGATTCCTTAAAGGTCATGGTGTTCAGCTCCAAAACAGTATGTATTACTGTATATGTATATGGTCACAACTAGCACGCCTGCATGTTCCCTCGGCGAGAAAAGCAATGCCACTTCTAATGCCATTGTTGACTAGCAACCCTGTAATGCCCTCAGCACCCTGCAACATCTTGCATGATTAGCTCGTAGCCCTTTTCTGGATGTTTGTTCAGGTCTTGAAGTAACAAGTATTGCAATCTGACTATACTGGTAGCTTTGACCTCACTATAAGTTATGGATTACAGTACTTGTTTTAACTTCCAAGGGGTGCTAGCGTCCAAGACCAGGCTTGCACGGGGGTAACCACCAGCAAAAGCTCCGCGGGTTTCAGATGTTTCAGGATCAAAACGTTTTGACAGGTCCGAAATACTTGGGGTTAATGCGGTTATGGGGCTGAAATTCTCAGAGGACAGGTTCGATGGTTCTCGGCATGGTTTGGAGATAATGTGCATGTTCTGCAGGCCAGAGCTGTGTTTCGGAGCAGGAGGTGCACATGTCTGGCAGCTCCGTCCATATAAGGTCGGCACGTGATCCGTTAGCGAGACAAGAAATTCGGCACAAGGCATGCTGAACTTGACCGGCATCAATCAGTCTTCTCGTGGTTCTGTTTTGCCAGCAAAGACTTGTCAGGTCGAAACCCTCCGATCTCCCATGAGGCTTGTGGCTGGAACCGACTGCTTGGTTCTCGGCAATATTGATTTGTCTTGCGTTTGCAAGGAATGCTCACAAAGTATCACTCTGTTCCACAACAAATGGTGTGGCACTTGTTCTATTCGTGCCGATGGCTTCGACGTGTCGGAAGGAGTCTGTCAAACTTGGCTGCCGGACAAGACCAACCAGCTTCTGTATACCAGCACCACACGCATCGGTAGCTGCTTCTCTTACTTGCTGAAGGACTTCGAGCGTCCCTGGAATCGGGATACACCATTAAGTGTGCAATTCAACAATGTGGAGAAAATTGCAAATTCCTGTGAGCTGTCAAACCAATCCGTCTTGAAAAAAAAGAAGGATTGAAAAAGCTTCCCACTGACAAGGTCACAGAGTGTAAATTGTGCCTGATATGTCACACAGGGGCTCCCTCTGATTGCGCGCTCGTGGCTGTATTGCCCTGCCAGTCAGTTGAGAGGAAGATTCACGGGTTGCGCTGGGTTGCCTTGATTACTAGAAGCTTAAGCCATCTTAAGCCTGGCTTAATGCAATGGAATCGAAGGAACCATTTGAATCCATTCCCTCATCCATTCCCTCATCCATTCCCTCATCCATTCCCTCATCCATTCCCTCATCCATTCCCTCATCC